ATGTCTCTGTGTGTCTGCAGACGGCCCTTCCTTTGGCAAGCTTCTACCTGGGGACCAGATCTTGGCCATTAACGAGGAGACGGTGAGCGACGCGCCGCGAGAGAGAGTCATAGACCTTGTAAGGTAACATCCTTTACTGTCCCAAGAGGGAGGGAGGCATAGGACGGGGCGCCGGTGATCTGGGACAGGAGAAAGCAACAAGAAAAAGGGAGATCACGGACCGAGCTGTTTCCTTATGCTATTTATGCAACACATCAGCACAAACCTGGGATGAGTCAGTCTTTTGCAGCAGAAAGACAGTGAGAAATGGCTGATAAAAACTGAAGCAGCTCTCTAAATACAGTCTGCCCATGACGTTACCTAACACACTCCACTGTGTCCTTCCACAGATGCTGTAAAGACACGATCGTTCTCACTGTGCTCCAGCCTCATCAGGTGAAAGAACATGCTGTTCTCTGCCTATGAATGTTTCTTTGTAAGAGTATGCACTTTCATAGGGTTTGTTTGTTTATGAATGGTGCATTATTCCTAACACAGACTAGCAGAATTGAGTGATGAAATGCATTCTGTGTGTTAACCCTTTCAGTGATCTCTATGAAGGCAAGCAAACATTACTTAAGAAAAAACAAAAGGTTTAGGTTTTTTTTTTTACTTCAAACAGGGGGCAGTCTGATCATTCAAACCTCATATGGTATTCTCCAGAGACTTTAATCTTGGCACAAAAAATTTAAACCTAAAAAATGGTTAGCATGTCATGTTCCAAGATTGATAGTTGTCGCAGTGCAGCAGCATTAGCTGCTCTAAAACAGATCTTCTTGGCAGTCATACAGCCATTTCTCTCATTTATGTTTTCACAAGCTGACTCAAGAGTTCTCTCTCCTTTTCACAGTCACCTAAGTCTGCCTTCATAAGTGCAGCCAAAAAGGCCCGCCTCCGAACCAACCCGCCCAAAGTGCGCTTTTCTGAGCAAGTGTCCATCAGTGACCCCGACTCAGTAAGTCCTGCTTCTGTTTCAAACCCTGATGCTGTTCACACATCTATGTAACAATGAAGAAGGTCTTTTTTGAACATAGCCTCTGAAAGGGAACAAAATGTCTTTGTGGAGCTCCAGTGCACTGATCTCCTGTGCTCTCTGTGTGCATGTAGGTTAAAAAACATACACTGAAATAAACTGTATTTATCTTTAGTCATAAATCAGCTGTGTGTATAAACTTTTACAAAATCAAACCCAGCAGGTCATGGTCCCAGCAAGTTGTTACCAATCCTACAATATCTTACAATGACCAAGTATATCTTAATGACTCAGATTTCCCCAACACAGTTTGACAGAAATAATTTTATGTGACATGGGTTGCTCACTACAAAAGACACCTACCTGTTTTGTGATCAGTTTCCTCTCACACCAGAATCGTGCTCATGTACCTTATGTCTGGTTTTCCTTTGATGCCACTTCAAAGTTTTCAGAAACATTTGTACAAATATACTGCTGCAGTTTACTTAATAAGTACACATTTCTTAGTAATACTTATTTCTATTAGTGTGGAATGATATGCCGGTACTGTATGTGAAATGTGATATATGAAATTTGGTTATTTCCAGATGCATCATACTACAGTACAACTGTAAATTTAATCACACTCAAATCAAAATCGCAATATGAATGGAGGTGATTAGCAAATTGGGTGAAATTTTTGAAGTTCCTATGTTGCTATATTGTGTCTTATGCATAAAAAATGCTAAACCTCTAGTTTAGAACTGTATGAAGATGTTATGAAATGTCATTCTTGTATTTGTCAGTTAATTCATTACTCAGGCTTTTGGTGAATATTTCTGGGTGCATTTACTTTTTTTAATGCAAAAACATGGATCCCAAAAATGTATCCTTTTATTAAAAAAACATAAATTGCAAATCTAATCATGCTTGAAAATTTGCAATTATATATATTTTTTCAAACGTATTCAGTCTCACTTACTTTATAGTATAGTATGCAATTTTGTTTTGCTGCTTTTGATCTTTCTTCAGGCACATTGCAGAAATGAAACAGAGATGTTCCCTCTAAGAATGGGTTCATTTTATCACCAAAGCAATCAGAATTGTGTATCTCATCTCACTCTGAACCGCACTCCACATTCTCTTTAAATTGTAAATATCTTCTCAGAGATCAAGACATTGCACAGAAAATAAAACAAGGGTAGAAAGTTGTGATTGGAAGTAATCACAGTTTCATTCAACACCACTGACTTATTGCATTTTATGTTTATCTTTTTCCATTATTGGAGTTGGAACTGAGCCTCATGTGCGTCTTATCTCATGTCCATCTTACCTTATTGATGAAGGACATAAGGTTATGTCAAGGACAAACAACCAAACCATTTTAAAGCCCTTGAGAAAATTATATATTATTACTTGTATATGCTCAATAAAGAAGACCAATGTAACATTCAAATATCATTGTTTAACATAATGCAACAAGCAATGACTTGTAGACATAAACCACAAACTGCATCTCTGTTTCCTTGTAAACCTCCCAGAGAGTGACCATAACACTGTATAAAACTGTTTAAACACAGCTTCACATATTCCCTTTAGTCAGGTGATTGGTTGAAAACAAAATATAGGTCAGATCTTAATATGGCAGAGTGCGAAGTGACATTCCTGTAGTGACCAGGGACCCTCGCCATGACGTAGGAAGTCGGCTAGCTAAAAAAAAGCAGAACATTGTTCTTGTATCAGAATATTATTAGGACCAAGTGCCAGAAGCTGGCAACAGGCCTATTAGTTTGTTACTAGTGGCTGGGAAGTGCACTGGCGCGAAGTGGTGTGCCCGTAGTGACCAGGGACCCTCACCCTGACATACGAATATGCGAGAGCTTTCTGAAAATATACAGGTTGTTAACTAAAAAAAAAGCGGAACAGTGTTTTCGTTTCAGAATATTTAGGCCTGAACCCATACAGGGTGTAGGGCTTGTTGCTTTCACAACAATGTGTGCACGGGTGAAGCGCTCAACTTCATACCTTGGTCGCCCCCTGCATTAAGTATCCACAAAACTCATGCCGAAGGGTTTTGGTTAGGGTTACAGTTAGGCTAAGGATAGGGATTGGACTAGGGTTAAGGTTGGGGTTATGGATGTTATACCATATTACCGCAAATATCAGCCCAATATATTGTCCAAACTCATATACAGGTCTATTTCTTTTCATCTTATTTTTGTTTTGTTTCTTTTACAAACCTCTGCATCAAATAAAGTTATTACCTGTTATAAATTGCTCTTCATCATAATCAAATGAAAAAACAGTAATTGAATAGTAGTGAATTTAGTTTTGCTCTTTCTCCCCATTCCTTTCAGACAATGCTCAAGGACGACTCCTTGCTTCTTATACCAAATGTACTGAAGGTGTTTTTGGAGAATGGTCAGATCAAGTCCTTTACATTTGACAGCCGCACCACTGTTAGGGTATGTATTTTTTAATCTTTTATGGCTTATGCATTTCTAAGTAAAATCTTTTGATAAAAATACAACAACAAAAAAATAATCAAAATGTGTGGTCCACAAATGATGAGCCCCATCATTATTTATTAGCTCCACAGACCTCATGTTTCATAAAATTACGGAGATATCACCCATAAACACAACACAGATCTGTAATCTAATTGTGACAGTTAAACATTAAATTCTACCATAGAGTTCTGACCTGTCCTTCAGTTCAATGTTAAACTATGCATTCTAAAATGTTAATGTCCTGTGAACCCAACCTGAACTAACCTACAAAAGTCTCACACCAATATTGATTTGTTTTCTGTGACTTTCCATAGTTACACGTAGAAACGCATTCTTGAAAATTAACATCAGGTGTGATCTGTACACCAGTTTGACCCAACATTAGAGCCACTTTTAATTTTTGGATAAGCAATCCCTATTGCCATTTCTAATTTAATTATGTATTCTGTAATCAGAGTTCTAGTTGCTACCTCTAATGCATATATTTTCCGAATAAAACAATCACTAACCACCCAATACGGCAACTGCCACCCACAAACAGTTGTTGTGATTATCTTTTTTTTTAAACTTTGATATGATTTAATTAGATTTATTTATTTATAGCATTGATCTATGGTAATTTTTCTTACTTGTCCAAGAAAGAAAGAAAAAAACGAACAAAAAAATAATAATAATAATTACTTACACTTTATCACATCATATTCTTTGATGTGATAAAGAATATTATCACATCAAATAATATTCTTATTTGATGTGATATTAAAGAAGAGCTGAAGATAATTTAGTTTTAATTTCTTGTTTTAATTGGAACTAATTACAGCAGCTGAATCAGTAGCAGAGGATGTCATGTAAAAGTGTATAAATTGTGTGATATTGTCTTTCCTTTCAGGATGTGATTGCCTCCCTGCAGGACCGCCTTTCCCTGCGTTACATTGAGCACTTTGCTTTAGTGCTGGAGGCAGCTGGTATGGATCATCATCAAAGGCTGCATCTACTGCAGGAGAACCAGCCTCTGACACATGTAAAGGAGCCATATATGCTTCCTAATAGGGCTGGGAAAAGTTTAGAAATACATAACCATAACATTTAATTTATATTCTCCATCCTACATCCCACTAAATCAGAATATTTTCCTGCTTCATCAGACTTGATTACTTCTGAGGCTAGATTATTTTATTATTCACATTATGATATTTAAACACTGACCAAGGATTTGCTTGAAATAAGAAATGTTTTATTGCTAATGGGCTAAGTACTTAACAGTGTGGACTGTTGTGTCAGTTAGGTTGTTTTATTCTTTCAGGTTGTACACAGAACCTACTTCCAAGGGATGAAGTGTCTTTTCCGCGTGTGTTTTTTCCCCAAAGATCCTGCAGATCTACTGAGGAGAGATCCGGCTGCATTTGAGTACCTCTATATTCAGGTAAACCCTTTTGGAAGAGAATTACACACCATTATTCAGTCTTTTGACATTGGGATGAAATCATAATACTCTGATATAGTTATCACTGGTAGATAGTAAGAACATATATTGATTTGGTACAAGGCTGAAACAGATTTGTTTTTGCCACAGAGTCGAAATGACGTAATCAAAGAGCGTTTTGGAATGGACTGGAAGTCTGACATCACATTACGTCTGGCAGCACTGCACATTTTTATCACTGTGTCCTCGGCGAGACCAAGTCAGAAGATCTCACTGAAGCACGTGGAGTAAGTACCCGATGTCTCTTCTTTATGTCTATTCCTTGAAGACCTTTAATTTGCTGTTGCAGTTTCTTATTAATATAATCTGTTGCTTTACAATACTTTACATCATATCAATATAAAAGGAAATATTTCCTGCTAAAAACGTATAAAGATGATCACTATCATAGAAGGTGTATATATGTGTTTAATGTACATTTTTAGCTTTTAATTAGATTAATGCATATGGTGTCAATAATTAATTAATAATTAATTATTGGCTTATTTATTTTTCAAACTCCCAGCCTTTACCAGGTAATTTACCTGTTCATCAAATCGACTGTGACAGTCAGGCCACAAGCCAGATAAAATAGCTGTCTGGTGGAAAACTAAATGAGGCCCTTTGTTTAAGTGGTGGTGACATTTCACTGGTTTTTAGGTGAGCCATTGTTTTACATTGTGTCTTCTGTGTACTTTCTCATACAGGAAAGAGTGGGGGCTTGAACCTTTTCTTCCTCTCACACTGCTCCCATTGGTCAAGGAGAAAAATGTGTGCAAGACCCTGTCTCAGTTACTGAAGACCTACCAGCACCCCCCACCATCTGGAAACAAGGTGGTTATAATTATGCTTAATATACTCCAAAAAATTGTCTTTAAAAAAAATTGTGCTTTAAAGTGTCCAAAGAACTACAGGTGACCCTTGCTCTTTAACTAGCTTTTTTCATTTAGATTTTTTGCCTTCTGAGTTGCATAAAGGTTTTATGTGACTCAACAGTGCCCTCCAGCGGATGTGCTGTGTAAAACAATACTACTTCACTTGTTCTGACATCAGTTTCTTCTCGCATGTTAATGATAGGTGCCTCCACTGCAAGGGAAACTACAGTACATGCGTGTACTTAATGATTTGCCCCCATTTGGTGGAATATTATTCCATACTGTTGAGCTGGTAATTATGTTGATTTCATATTTCATAATATCATATATTTATGTTTTCAAATATGAACATTGCTTGTTTTAAGTTTCAGTAGGTATGTGCTTTATGTAAAATAAAACTTGTTTTTGAAGGATGAGAAACAGTCAGCAACAACCCTTTTGGTGGGTCCTCGCCATGGCATCAGTCATGTGATCGATCTTAAAAATAACCTTACAACAGTTCTGGCTGAGTTCAGTAGAGTCTCCAAAGTTCAACTGTACAGAGAGAGCCAAGGTGTGGCTCGAGTTGAAGTGTCAATGCATGAGTCCAAGGTAATATGAAGAATGTAATGTAATGTAATATAAAGTCATATGCTTTTCTTAAGTCTTACCTTTTCCTAAGTTTTATAAAAATGTGTAAATGAAATCCATCTTATGCAGCCCTTGGTTCTTCTTATGGAATGGCCAGATGCCACAAACTTTGCTTGTCTGATTTCTGGCTACTACAAACTATTTGTCGACCCAAAGCGGACCATCTTTTTTCGCAATCCAGGTCAATCTCAACTTACTAAAACAGGTATTTCACACTATTTTATTGAGTTGATTTAAACCATTTTATACTTAAGACATTTTGATGTCTTGTGTTGGAAGATGTTATAAATGTGAACATTGATGACACTCATGACTCAACCATTGCCAGTCACAAGGTTGTTTCTATAACCTCACTTCACATGATGCTCTTTTTCATCTTCATTTCAATTATGGATGTGGTATCATTATTTCTACAAATATAACATTGTGGAAGTTCATCATGCATTTCATGTTTCAGTGGTCAATTATTTAGTACGGTGTATATATATTTAAACTGTGGTCCAAACAAGAGGGATTGTCATACCATCACATTACAGAAACTAACCGCTCAACCTCAACCAAGCTCCAACTGTCAACCATCTGAAGTAACAAAGTCCATGTGGCCATCAGCTGTCACTCTGCTTTCCCATGTGAATCGCTGCACAAGTTGTAACAACTCAAACTCTCCACTGCTTTGACCATTTTGTCCCCAGATTACAGAAGCTCCTTCCATGGGTACTCGCGCTCCGGGGCAAGCAGCCTGCCCTCTGGAGGGCGGCGAGGGGACGACAGGGAGAACTCTCACAGGGAGTCGGGGTCACTGCGGGCCACTGCTCCTGCTGAGCCCCAGCACCTTGGCCTGTGTCATGTCCACCTCAGAGAGAGAGAGCAGCAATTCCAGGAGTTTCAAACGGCTACAGAGACTGAATTGGACATAAACGAGAACTTTATACCTCAAGAGCCCTCTGATCGGCCTCGCACCAAATCTGACCCTACCTTACAAAGTACAGAAGAAATAGCTGGTGTTTCAGAGGTCCCTGTAATGGAGAATACAGAGTTTAGGATACGAGCCCAAACAATGAATCAATCTCAGAAAAACATGCGTTATTTCTGTGATTCATGCAAATCCAGGCTAAGAGCGGAGGGTGTTGTGGTGAATAGCAGTGGGAGCTCAGGTAAACACTGCTCCAGTAGTTGTGCATCTCGAGATGGAGGTGCTGTTGACCTTACTGCCCTCCCACCCCCAGGTAACGAAGAGGAAGATGAGGAAGAGGTTACTAATGGTACAGAGAGGCTGCAACTGCCAACGCCTGCTATAGCTGCTCCTCCACCTGGCTTCAGGGACAACAGCTCTGATGAGGATGACACAAAAAGGGGACGAAAGACTCGAACTGGCCTAAGCCCAAGAACTGCCTCAGTGAAAGTAGCCCAAGCAAAGGAAGATGTGCCTGTGACACTGATTGATAATGTTTCTACTAGAACTGTCCGAGATCATGCCCAGGAGCTGGATGATGCTCTTGTGTCCACCTTACAGGCACTGGAGGCTTTGGCAGCATCTGAGGACTACCCTCACCATTCGCAACAGCCAACACAGACTGCAGGTCAACAAGACTCTGCACACATCGAACACTTTACATTAACTGTACACTTTAAGAAACTTTCAGATAAAGCATGTGAAATAAGACAGAAAAGTAAGAAAAATTAATTAAAAGTAGAATAAGTAGAAAAGTAAGAAAAATAAAACTTAGGTCCTTTTAATAAGAAATCAGTAAGTAATCTAACTTTTTAAATATAGTTATATTATAAATATGTTATATAGAACATATATCATAGGAAGAGAAAGGTCAACACTTGTCAGTGCTATTGCACTGAGCATGGGGCACTTTTCCTGGCATACGTATATGCTCTATGTCTGGATACGGGCCATAAATTTAACAAATTGAAATTGGTTCAGAATGTTGCTGCAGGTCCTCAGCTAATGCAATGGCCTATAGCCAGGCAAAGTTATTTTCTGTATAGGACTGTTTTTGTATTAAAAATGTCTTTTTTTTCTTCTAGGTCTGATTGTGCTGGCTGCCATTACACCTGAGTCATCCCTGGACTCAGGGCATGAGACTAACTCATCTGAACTTACAGATGTGTCTGAGATGATGTCAGCGATGAAGCAGAACCAGAGCCAAACATACCTTTTAGCTCATCATATCAACAAGGACCGCATTATCTGCCGACGCGACTTCCCTCTTGCAATCCCTGGGTGTACTGCTAAAACTATAGGCACTGGAGCTTTCTCTGTGGGGCAGATACGTGCTGGCTGCCCACCCAAACAAGTTATCCTCAGCAAGACTGTTCCCTTTAAGGTTAGCCCCGGCCAAGACTCTGCAATACTCCGGGTCATGGCAGAACAGGCAAGTAGTCATGACACCCCGCAGAGTGAACAAAAAGCATTGAAGGCAAACAGTGAGTCCACCAAAGCAAAAAAAAATAGTGTCCCTGGTAAGTCACTTGAAGCAAAACTATCTGAAAATTCTGTGCAAGATCAGAAATTACCAAATTCAATTGTAGAACCTGAAGGACAAAATATTCCTGAAAGTAATAAAGCAAAGACATTAGCCTCTGCTAAAACAGATTCAAACAAAGCCTTACCTATTCTGTTGCCTGTGGACATAACTGCCTCTGCCAAGATTTCTCCAAATAACCAAGACAATGAGACTGCTTCTAGTGAAACTATCAAGCCTTCTAGTGCTATTGAAGTTCTGCCAGTGGATGATCTCTTCTGCACATGCCCAGTGCAACAAGAGTCTGTAACTCAATTAAGACTTAAGGATCCACAGGTCCAAAAGGTAGTGATGTTTCAGTCCTCGTCCCCCACTGATGATGAGCGCCTGCGGGCTAAAAGTTTGCAGATGGCTAACATGAAAGAAAACGCAGTGAAAGTTGGTGTAGAGCCTAGTTTAACCAAACCCAGCCCTCAGTTACAAACTAAGTACTCCCCACGTCTGCCTATAAAATCTGAAACAAAAGAGGCAACTGAAACCAAGAGTGATGTTGCACCGACCAAATCACATACTGAGACAACAAAAATAAAATCATTACCAATTTTAGATGACCCCACAACAACTTGCGAATCTGTTGGTAAAGTGTCTACTTTACCAACCAGAGATTCAAAGAAGCAAGGGACTGGTAAAATGAAATCACATCGTAGTGCACCATTTTTAAGTTTCAGAAATCTTCTTTCTGCAACATTCCCAGCAAGAATGAGAAGAGAGACAGATGAACGAAGGGCCCAGCTGCAAAAAGTGCGGCAGTATGAGTTAGAGTTCTTAGAGGAGCTGCTAAAACCCAAGTCATCCCAGGGAGAGTTTCTGCCCCAAGGCTCTTCACCTGTGCCAGGAGGAACTCCCTGTGCCTGCCAGCTCCGCACCAGTCCTGTCCTGAAGGCCCCTGGAATCTCCAGGGAGCAGAGGCGAAGCTGTGACTGTAAGCGAATGTGCAGAGGGATGCGACTGCCTGATACACCTGTCGGTTCAATAACAGAAACACAGCAGAGAGGCAGAGAAAGAAATGCTTCAAAAACACCTCCCCCTGTCTCTAAAGCCTCACACACTCCAGGTTCAACTAGAAGACCACAGACTTTAGAGATCAAGACCACACGAATTCGCTCCACCAGCCTCGAGTCTCGAGAACCAAGACGAGAGCATAGCTCTGGTCTGCCTACTTTGACTTCCCAAACAGATGGTATGACAGCCCCACAGCATAAGAAACTGCAGAGGCGATACAGTTTTGGGGAGCTAGATAACAATACTAGTACACCAGTGTATGCAGAAGTGAAGCCAAAAACCAAGAGTCTAGAGAAGGAAATGGAGAGAGTAAGGGCCACAGGACTGCGGCTCCCTACACCTGTAGAACCAGTACATATAGAGTCCCATCAGGCTGATGCAAAGGGAAAGAAGGGTGTGTTTTTCATTCAGGGGGATGACCAGAGTGAAGCCAAAGAGGGGTCAACAGAGGTGGTACTCACCCTGCCCACTGAGGACAATGATGAAAGGGAGAAATGCTGCTCCTTCTGTTTCTGCTACAGAAAGTGTGAGGCAGCTGATGAGAGCAGCGAGAAAGATGAGCTCTCCTACTCCATTCCACTACAAGTCCTACCAGGCATGGAGCTGGACTCACATACATTTCCTGTTGTTAGCAAAACCCTCCAGGTCCTAAATGCAGAGGACTGCAGTGGTGAGGAAGAGGAAGAGGAGGAAGAGGACCCACACACACAGGAGATTGACCTCAGGGCCTGCGGGACTCTAGAGGGTAGTTTAGCACGGGTACAAGCACTACAAGAGAAATCCTTCAGCCTGCCCGATGGATTCCTGAATGCCCAGTTGGATGCTAATGAGTTACTGGCAATTCTGCGTCAGTGTGCCAACAGCCCACAAACAGAGGGAGAGGGTCGGCTTCAGCCGTCACGGATTGCAGAGTATAAACAGGAATTAGCGGTTCGCTTCAAAGAGTTCAGAGCATCATGCCGCCGTGTAGCTAGTGTTGAGAAAAGCCCCACTCGAATGCTTGCTGCTGTCACGGCCAGTTTTCAGGTGCTGTGTGAACTGACACAGACCTTCATCAAGCTGATCAGAGGAGTTCGGTCAGAAGCCCAAAGACTGCAGTTGTTAAGGAAAGTTGAAGAAGTGGCTGTCAATTATACTCTGTTACTTCGGGCAGCTGAAGAATCAATGGGACATTCCAGCAGCTTACCAACAAAGACTGTGACCCCACAAGTTCCCTCCAATGCCAATAACATGAACTCACTCTCTCGACCTATCAAAACTCTTCCTGCCCAATAGAGCAGTAAGACAAGGTTCACACAGTTCAGAATGTTAATACCTTCTATATCTGAAGTCATTCTTTATTTATTGTTTACATTTTTTACAACTCTAGCATTGAATCATCCACTATAAACTGCCATGCAGTCGTTTCATCTCATGTTTACAGGCCCTGAGGTAGCCTTGTGGATCTTGTTTAGAAAATAAGATAAGATACGCCAAGCAAATGCACAATGGAATAGGTACCCTATACCAGACTGGGTATTACAGGGCTAATCACCACACATCAAAATACACATTAAATGGTGTTATAATATGGTATAATATTTTGTATGTATGTATTATATAAATATATATTTGAATTGTATCTACTTAGCAAATAATATAAAGTTTTGTGGAGATTAAAGGTGATGAATATACAGTATATATTTAAAAATGTAAACGTAAACAAATCCACATTATAATAACACAACATCCAAAATAAATGTATGCTCTGGACTGGAATATTTCTAAAAGTTTGTGAAGTAGCAACTTCTGTAAAATTAATAGTTAAAGGCTTTGGTTGGTGGCTAGATGGTAATCTGTGTTGTGGAAGTTTTCACTGTATTGCAAATTACAACGCTTGTTGGGTTAATGTTTGATTTGTGGCAGAAGTCAAAATGTGAGGAGCACTGTTAGAAAATTCACATGTTTTAAACACATCGACCTTCACTCCTAAGCGTGAATCCATACTCACATACAACATAGTTTATCAGGGCAGAAAATGTAGCATAAACCCAAACCTAAGCCCTGTCCAGTGTACAGTATTGTTACCTCATTCTGCTGTAATAAGACAGAACACTGTACTGAATGCACTTGCATCTCACTTGCTGTGAATTATAGTTTTGGAGTGTTTAAAGCTATCACAAACTTTGCACAATCTCACCTTAAAATACCATTGTTTTGTTTGATCAACTTGCTGCTGAAAATCCTCTTATAAGGTACTTGCTTAACTACACAGGTGAATGGACTACTTGTTCTCAGTCAGCTGTAGAATAATATTTTCATTTCCATGTGCTACTTAACATTGTCCAATTTCAACAATCTAATATAATAATCACACAAAGTAGTTTTCTATGTATTTTAATAAAACAAACATGTCTGTTATTTGTCCAGGATCTTCATTTGCTCACATATGACAGATGTTACTGAAAGGCTTTGTATTGTCACTGTATGCCACTGATTGGACCAGCTGTTAAAAGTATAAATTAAATATTATTTTTTGTGAACTATAAAAACCTCACAAATTGTAAAATGTAAATGGCCATAATTGGTTAATCTGCAAACTTGATTTTGTAAATGTAACATCATTTTTGAGAAAAATACACATTTTAACAATGCCTTTAACAGCTGGTCCTTTTGTCTTTTTCCATTTCCGTGTGCACTGTTATTTATTTCTTTATTTTTTTTTACATCATATTTTACCACATTTGCTTTTCAGAGACTGATGCAAAAGAAAATTAAAGCTAATTATTTTAGTTACAGTGTACATGGGATGCCAATGGTTCAAATTGAAGACTAGATTAGTTTTTATTTATATAGTAATTTCTCTCTGAAAGCTTTTGCTACGTAGAGCCAAGTGTAGAAGCAAGCAACAATTTATCATGTATTTTGTGAATACATATAAAAAAGCAAATGGATGGTTGTTCTTTATATTGGTTATTATGTAACATAGAGTCTATAGCAAATTGTATATTTTAAAGAGTACATTCTGAGTATATGAAGCATGGACCATGCTTATTTTTATAAACCAAATTATCAAATGGTCTCATCAGCATTTAAACATTTTCACGTTTTATGTGACGTCCTTTCTCATTCGCTTTGCAAAGCTGTCTAGATGTGTCTGTCCTTCAGAATCACTGCTTGTCCCATTGATTTACGTTAGACACCTGCTGTTTCTGTCCTTATTTACTGTTGTCATCTTGTTTTGTCTATGGAAATTCAACTCATGTTTGAAGAGCAATAAAGTGCATTGATAAACGCTTACTGGCATTTCATCGACTGAAAGTAAACAAAGAAATTCAATATCAAAATCTCTAAGTCATTACTTCTCAGTGAAAGGGTTACCGCTAGAATAATGTGCTGTTCTTTGTAATATTTGTATCTAATTATTATAGCTGCAACACACAAATTGTCTATAAAAAATAAAGTTTTCTAGGAAACAAATACACTGTGATGAAGACACTAGAGTACAGTATACCCCATTGACTGTCTATGATATACACTTATATTTAGCAAAAATATAAGTAACATAACGAACACTTGGGTTATGCATTTTTACCACCAAATATAATGTTTTCCTAAAACATGGGTGTATAATAATATGAAAATAAAATAATATGTTACGTTTTATATGACGTACCCTGAACTACGTCATTACGTTTGTACGTCAACCAGGCGTGCGTACAGCTCAAGGAAGATCTGCACACGCGTGATCTAAGCGGGGACATAATGGAGGATAGGTAGTAAACCCATCGGTTCGGAAAGAGTAGCTCTTCTACTGTGTGGTTGTTTATTGTCGCTGTCTGTTATTTTACAGCTCTTGGTATTAGTCACCGCTCTTGGTTATCGACTACTCTCCTGGATTGTAACAAAATGCCGAATATCAAAATCTTTAGTGGGAGTTCGCATCCGGACCTGTCGCAAAAAATTGCTGACCGTTTAGGGTTGGAGTTGGCGAAGGTTGTTACTAAAAAATTCAGTAATCAAGAAACATGGTGAGTTTTCTATTCTCCCCGCCCAAGCTTTGCATTATGCAAATGTTGTAGCCTAGCAACAATTAACGTGATGAATTTGCCGCGCAGTGATATTTTCTTTACTTGTTTTTGACTGATAATTCTCCTTTTCTATCTCTACAACCGTTTCCTTATATCGACGAGTAGCCACAACATAAGACATTGTTTACTCATGTCTCATCTATCCAACGTCTCTAATGGTGAACTAAACAGCCTACTGTTTGTTTTGTCACTATCTGATAGCGTTGAAATTGGAGAGAGTGTGCGAGGAGAGGATGTTTATATTGTCCAAAGTGGCTGCGGAGAGATAAATGACAACCTTATGGAGCTCCTGATCATGATAAATGCCTGCAAAATCGCATCCGCTTCCAGGGTCACTGCTGTCATTCCCTGCTTCCCGTATGCGCGACAAGACAAAAAGGACAAGGTGGGGGTGAGGAATATCTGTCTAATTACTTCTGTCATGCCATTTGCCATCAGCATGGTTCAAAAAGCTGAGAAGCTCACTGCCATATCCATCAAAAACTCTTGACAAAATGCTCTTACTGTTCCTTTGCTTATTTCTTCCACTTAAAAAAAACAAATTTTCTTGTATATGAATGTACTTCTGCCATTATAATTCATGCCTTGTGGCATGGAAATGTATTTTTGGTGTGCTTGGAGCATGTTATTTTGTTCATGTGAATGCATTTCACTCTTGGACACAATTTCTATTTAGTAATGTAATGTCAGCACTATGATCCAACATCATTATAATGGGAAACAAATTGTAGCATTAAAAAAAGTTTTACTAACTGGCAAGGGCTTTAGAGTTTGGAGATATTTTTAGAAACAGGACATGCATCCAAGTACACTATGCCATGTGACTAGCCATATCATCTTTCTTTGCAGAGCCGGGCACCCATCTCTGCCAAGCTCGTGGCCAACATGTTGTCTGTGTCAGGAGCTGACCACATAATTACTATGGATCTGCATGCCTCACAGATACAGGTGAATTAATTCATGCAACACATGCACAAACTGGTGGATCATACTACAGCAGAGACTGTACTATGAGTACTTATACGTGGAATATTCAATATTTTCCATATTTGTCTCAAAACGCTGGTTTATTGTTGTTGCTGTAATAACTCTGCTGATTATTGCAGGGGTTCTTTGACATCCCAGTTGATAACCTGTATGCAGAACCAGCTGTGCTTAAGTGGATTAAAGAAAACATCCCAGAGTGGAAAAACTGTATCATAGTTTCACCTGATGCAGGGGGAGCAAAGAGGTAAATACACAAATATTATTGTGGGTATTTATATAATTTCTTAGACAATGTTTATTATTACTGATATGTTTTGCCTGGGTTCTGACTGGTGTTTTTTTTTTTGTTTTGTTTATTTTTGCAGGGTCACCTCTATTGCAGATAGATTAAATGTGGACTTTGCACTTATTCACAAGGAAAGGAAAAAAGCTAATGAAGTTGACCGCATGGTGCTTGTGGGGGATGTGACTGGCAGAGTAGCAATTTTAGTGGATGACATGGCTGACACATGTGGGACAATCTGTCACGCAGCTGATAAGTAAGTGCAGTCAAACCCTGACCTACAACTGCTACTTTTTAGATATTGTAATGTAAACATATTTGACAGTATATCTCAATGTTTTTCCCTAAGACTTATTTCTGCTGGTGCAACCAAAGTCTACGCCATCTTAACACATGGTATATTCTCCGGTCCAGCAATCACAAGAATAAACAATGCTTGCTTTGAGGCTGTGGTAGTCACCAACACCATTCCTCAAGAAGAAAAGATGAAACACTGTCCCAAAATACAGGTTAGAAAAACATTTTAGCTAATTACATACTAAATGTTATGCAAGGAAGGTATACATAATTTAATAAAATAAAGGCATCAGGCATTTATCTGTGTTGAATTAAAGAAAATAATCAAATAATCAAATTTATATATTTTACACATGCATTGTAATTTAAATTGTATTTGCAGCCATCTTTTTGGCTCACTGACCACATTGTGTACATTAAGGATAATGAACATTAACATAACTACACCACTAAGAATCATGTGTTTGTTGAGATCTCAGCAGTGTCAGCATATTTTATTAAGATTTAATGCTGACTAGATATTTTATTCCCTGGTATTGCTTACATATTTGCAGTTGCAATCTGCAAATTGATTCAAATTTGACAAGAATTTCCAATAATTGTTCACTCCTATGGGTCATCTTCCACCCTCACAGCCGTACTACATAATGTCTATGGTAACAAAAAGGCTGATTTCAATTGTGTATTTTTGCACATGGTTTTGATGTTAGTAGTGTTTCATTGTAAAAATGTTTTCTTATTTTATTAATGAACTGTTTGCTCTCTTCAGGTTATTGACATATCAATGATCCTTGCAGAAGCCATCCGTCGCACTCACAATGGAGAATCTGTATCATATTTGTTCAGCCATGTCCCCTTGTAACAGCAATGTGTACATTCAACATGTAACATGCTGTCATACCAAATTAAGGAGCCCCTACCCAACACTGTTGTTCGCAAATATGCCCTACTAACTGTTGAAGTGTATCTGTTACTAACCCTTACCTCATCCTTATACCTTTAGATGACATTTATGTGTGTTTATGGCACCAAAGCTACTGAATATTTATTAATACAGAGATTTTTTTTTTAAATGTAAGTGAATTGCTCATCTTTGCGCAAACATTTCATGCAGCAAATGCGATGTCACTTCCGCCATGGTCAGGGGAGGCCTCCGAGAAACTGTTACAGATGGTTAAGTATATCCTCTGCCATGAGAAAGATTAATTATAATGAATGTGAATGTTTTATTAAATAGTTTACAGTGCCACTGAAGCTCCACTGAGTGCCTCATTTGTCTGAAATTAGGAATTTTTCATTCCCAGACAAACATGTAGTAGTAGTTATGAAGGTTTTTCTTCTGAGGTACCCACCTTGAGTGGTCTTTTTAAAGATTGGTTTTAGTGTAGGGTCTATAATACGGTAGGGTCTCTGCAGGCTGGAGCTTCCTCTGAAACTTGTGACTTTCTTTCTCTTTCTGTTTTGCTTTCCTGTAAGTCTGGATGAAGAAACACATTTTATGTGTATTTTATTTTTTTAAACTTTTGTGTTTGTTCATTAAGTAGAACATTTATCTAAAATTCTGTTCATAAATAAATAAAATATACGGAAACCTTTTTATATGGGGGATTTTGTTTGCTGTGAATTTTTATATTACAGTTCAACATCCTTAGTTGACTGCCAGCTATCTTATCCTAGTCGTGACGTGATCTACACTGACCAATGGGGTCAACGAGGGGGCGGACCAAACCGCACCGGCAGATTAAGGCGTTCTAGTTTCTTGCAGTCGCCTTACTGCATCGTCTAAAACAATTTACGACCTTTATCTTTTGATCATGCTTCAGATGAAACAATATAGGAACAAACGAAAAATGTGCAGTTGCATCCGGTCGAGACGAGAGGCTGCTGTGAACGATTCAGGAAATTTTCAAGATTGATTCTCTCAGATGCTACAATTGGACTAAATTGCTAATAGACCTACTGTGAGTAACACATATTTGATATTGTGTAGGCCAGTGCATTTGTTCATAATTATTAATACTAGACCTAAGTGAATTAGAGACCGTTTATCAAACAAATAATTTCTGATTACATTTTCTTGCAGTCATGATGTCTGGATCTCAGGGTCATAAACAAGATGGAGAGGCCCCTAAGGACCCAATGATACGTTACCGGAGTTACCTGCATGGAGGCACTTCCAGCTTGTTGTCGGCGCTCCCCACTTTTATTGTGTTCCCTGTGTACAAGACAATATTTCGTCAACAAATCCACAATACTCCAGTGCATCGTGCTGTGGGCCAGCTTTATAAAGAAGGCCCCCTGAAGCTTTATCGGGGTGTGGCTCCTCCATTAGTCATGCGAACACTTAATGGTACTCTCCTCTTTGGTCTTCAGGATACTCTTCTTCACAGTCTTTCCCAGACATCTCTTATTACAAACATCCCAACCTCAGCTTTGCCAGCAATGGCTGGTTTTGGTGCTGGTATTGTTGAAGCTCTGATTTTCACTCCCTTTGAACGTGTCCAGAATGTCTTACAGAACAGTCAGAATGATTCTCGTCTACCCACCCTGAAGAGTGTACTTGTCATGCTGAACACTGAGCGGAAAGCTACAGGGTTTTATAGAGGCCTCCTGCCAATGACTGCTCGTAATGCACTGGGAAGTGCTCTCTATTTTGGCTTAAAAGGACCTATGTGTGCGGCTGTAGCTGGAGGAGGGTTGTCTCCTCTGGCAGCATCTTTTGTATCTGGGACATTAACCTCCATGGCCATCAGCTTGACCCTGTACCCACTGTCTGTGCTGGTGGCTAACATGCAGGCAGAAGTGGGCAGGGACCTCAAGGGAGTGTGGGGATGCTGGAAACACCTGATGGAGTCCAGACAGTGGAGCATTGCTTTGTTGTACCGAGGTGGTACCCTGGTGATCCTCAGATCATGTATCACATGGGGACTCACAACTGCCCTTTATGACAGACAATAGAAGCGCTCGGGCTGAGAACAGGTGGTGTTACTTGTAGTGGCAATAGTATCTTTAATTTTCTGAAATGATCTCTACCTCAGTCATTTGAACAAGTTCAGATCTAGCTTCATAGCAGTGTGTTTCTTACTGGTGTTCAATGCAGTTGCATTAATTTTAAATGAAAGACATCTACTTGTTTTTGACAGGAAGTATTATTTTACCTGTCAAATTAACCACTTCCTGCATACACATAGACTAAGAGACTATATTAAATCTACTGTGGATCTAATTGAAATATCATGTATCCAGACCTGCCACTTATGAACCCAAGGTTTGTCAAATGTGCCTTGAACTATTTAGTGTGTGTTTACAATACATTTTAGTGAACAGCCAAATTGTTAGATCATGTAGACATACAAAATGAGCAGTATTATATTGCCACTTTATCAACATAATCTAAATAAATGGCAAACTGACATATACATTGAATAGAGCCATTACAACAGTTTTATTTAATAATAAGTGATGCAATTTATGTACCTGAATCACAAAGACCTCTGATATAATGCATTATGTCCACTAGATGGCACTACCTGATTAAATTCGTTTCCTTTCAAATTGCCCCAGTCCATAAAATATATGACTAAATTTGGAATAACCAATGCTTCACAGTAATGGATGGTTGTATAATAAAGTAAGTATAGGCTCTGTGCCCAAAGACCATTGACTGTAATTAATAAGAAATGTGAAAGTAAATATCTTTACTTGGACAGCGAATGGAAGTGAGCGCTTCAGTCCTGGCGCGGCTCTAGGGCGTGTTTCTGTATTTAAACCCATGACCTGTGCACGCACGGCACAGACGCACTTCTCTCACCTGAACAGGACAGTTCATCTGCTTACTGCTGTGGCACCAGGTAAAACAATCCTCTGTTCCTCTACTTCATTTTCATATCCCAATAGCTTATAATTGTTCTAAAAGTTCTAAAAATAATATTTTTTAAAAAGAAACCACAAGACCATTAGTATGAGGGTGTTTTAGAGTTGTCGATCGCATAGCCTACTGTCAATTTAAACTTACAGTTAAAAGTGTATAAATAACATGCAGTAGCTTATAGCTTGGGAAGGTATGCATTTATTTGGCTGCTGTTGTACTAATTTAAGCAGTTGGTCCTCTTTGTCCTGTAATTTCAAAAGCCTAATTTACATAGCCTATTTTATAACTTCTTATGTTTCAAGGTCAATTTATGCAGCTAATTATATACTTAAAATGTTTGGCTGTGATTATCTTGTAATGGCTAGTAGCTGGCAGGTAATGAAAAAGTTACCTGGAATGTCTTATATCTTGATATAGTGCCTTGCTGTTGTTTTTCCAGGTGTGGCCAGATCTGTATAAACATGTGTGAACATGTAGTGCAGATGTCGTTTTTTTCTCAAGAAAAAGAACATCTTAATTGCCAAATCACAGCATATGATGCTGTGCATATGATAAGTGATTTTCTGTTGTACTGTTGCCTACAGAAAGCTTCAGCCATGAGTGACAAAATTCCAGTTAACGATTTGGAACAGTTTGACAAGAAAAAACTAAAAAAAACGTGCACAGAAGAAAAAAACGTTCTTCCAACTAAGGAAGGTAAGAATACAAAAACGGTACTCCTACACTTAGTTCTTTATGGCCATAGCAAACAGTGTATTACTGATTAACTGCAGGTACACACCCAACCATGTCCTTGCTTTTAAAAGTATCATTGTTCAAAGGCAGCAACACTCCACTCCCACACAACAAAACATGACAACATCCCTATAGTCGCAACTCAGAACACACCTGAAAACAGAAGGGGACAAACTCTTGTCTACTAAAAAGGTTATATAAGGTATGGGCGGTATCTTCGTGACATAAATAGGATAAGACAATATTATTATGTACAATGAAGAGGTCATAACCCAGTGAATGAACCCTTTGTTTTTGTGCAAAATTGTTGTTGGGTGTGGGTTTTAAGACTAATTTACATTGTTCTCTCCTTCACAAAGAGAACAATAATAACATCACATTTATGCATTTACAGTGTTTTTGCATATCATCTTGATCATGGCAAAGTGTAATATTGTAGTTTTTCTTTCTCATTGCCAGATATTGAACAGGAAAAGAAAATGAATGAAAAGGGGAATTAACAGTAGCCTCCTACAGTGGCTCTACCTCCCCATGGACCCGATGTTACATGCTGTGTCAACCCTGCCCGTCCGGAAGATCAGTGTCTATTTTATGGCATCAAACCATTGTTATAAAAAAGGAACCAAGACCATGAAAGACCTGTCTGTCCATGTAACATACTGGCATATGTTATTATGTTTTTGTAATTATTAGAAAAATTACCACTCATCTAACAGTTTTATTAGGTCTATATTCCTTGGCTACATCAGAAGAATGAATAGTGCCATTTACACAAAATAATATTTTTCTTCTAATAAAATTTTCAAAATCAAGTTGGTGTGTGAGTTCAGAGTTTGTTTGTTTTTTTTTTTTTTATTGTAGAATAAGCAAATTACAAACAAATCAGGTACTGTACAAAATACAATATTACATTGGTTCAGTTTGCCGTAAATATGCATTTGGGAAAAAACAAAGAGAACTTTAAGTGGGGCATATACTGCTACATAAATAAACATAAATTATCAAATAAAAATAAAAATAATTTGTCCATAAATGAAAGAATGCACTTGCAGATGTAAAAATGTTATGAATACATTTTTAAATCACTATTTACATATGTAATGCTTTGCTAACAACATAATATTAAAATCATAGTTGATGTGAGGCTGTTCTTAATTGTGAGTGAATCCACTGTTGAAGAGTCCCTCTCACAAAATGTGCAACTGTCAACATCTATTTTAAATCTGTGTCTTAAAAACTCATTAAATGGATAAATCTTGTTTATGATTTTGAATAGTTTTTCTTTTGGTTAAAATGGGGGTAGTCAAATATTTGCATGTTATCTTTTTACTGTTCCTTTTTAAAATCTGTAGGTATGTAATGCCTTATTAGAAAATTTGTGACACAATAATAAAGTAAGCACCTCCTTATAAATTTGTTATGACACTACAATCAGACAAATGCTCACCATCAAGATTCCTCACGGGGAAGTTGAAGTCTAGAGTACAAAGCAAGATTAAAAGGGTGAGGTCACTATTAGTGATACGTGTGTGCAACCACCATCTATAACTGCAATTTAAAAAGCCGCAGTATGCACTCTTACTCTAAGGGGGTTTGCATTTCCACAAACCTGTCTTATTTGGCCTGAAGGAGGGCCTCCTCCTGCTTGTTTCTATGGCTTTAACCTTATGTTTCCTTGGAATTATGTGACATCACTGCCATCTCCAGAACATTATATACTGCACCTTTCATTTGCATAGTATGTTTGCAATCTGTGAGTTTTCCAAAAGTATGAAATTTGTAGGTTAGAGGAAAATACCCTTAATGCAAACTTCACAGCACATCCCATCACTCTACTTTCACTGAACAGAGAGTGCTGAGTCTTTTCTTAAGACGTGTTAAAACATGCACAGTGTACTACATGCAACAACAGGAATATCAACTTTATGTTGATACCATTGACATGATGAAATGCTCATGTTTTGTTTGTTTGTTTGTTTGTTTTTTTAATATTTGAAGATGTTTCAAATAAATGTATTTTAAAATATGTATGCAGTATACATTTGACAGTGGTCATATTCAGATATTCAGGCCTGTAGCCAACCATACAGGACAGTGTCTCTCATATTTAATGTGTAATTCCCATTAGACTGTATCTAACTAAACTAAACCATTAACTTTAATCAGACAATGTTGAAAACATGGGAAACAAGGTGATTTAAGTAAAAAAAATAATCAATAGTAAAAATGTTCAATTATTTGGCCTGGCAATTATTATTTTTACATGAGCCATAGTGACATCTAGTGGCTAATATATGCTACACACATGGTGATTTGCAGTGCCACTTGTCTCCTTAGGGGGGAGCTACACAACAGGAAACGCTGGTGAAGGAGGAGCCAGTACCGCTGCAGGTTTTCTGTGTTTACTGGGCTAACTAAAGTCTATCTACGAGCTAGTTAGCGGTGAGCAGCATAGTGTACTATGCCAACAAACATCTGTGGTCTAAATCTGGATAATCTTGGCTAATCATGCTTTAGCCAAAGACAGAAGGATATTATTGTGTGGACAATCATCACAACGCGTTGGACAGATCCAGGTACATGCTGTTAACTAGTTCATTCATGCAGTCGCTGCAGCGGAGCAGAGTTTGATCTCTGTGAGGCGGGCTGGGAGCATCTGCTACTGAGGGCACAACACGATCTGCACTGATCTTTCACCGGTATCGTCATTACAGTGTTTTTACAACATGCTAGTTGTTAATACTCTGTTTCGTTTGTAGTGATTATATGTAGTTTAAATGCAGCTGATGATCAAGAGTAGCTGAAACGTCAATATCTATAATAACTCTTTATTGTGTTGCTCCAGTGCTATTGCTATTGACCTTTTACGCGTAGAGTGTTTATATGTATTCTCAAATAACTTTCTGTTTGTGGCTTTTTCTTGCTTAAAGGGAGAAAAGAAGCATGGTGGTTCCAGACAGTACAAACATTGTTCCTCAACCCCACAATGGAAGTGCGTCTTGCCTCCTGGAAGCTCCTGAGTCCAGCTGCAAAGAGGCCGAGGTGGAGGGTCAGGAACTGGCAGGGGTGGAGTTGGAGGAGGTCCGAAAGCTACAAGAACTTGTCCGTAGACTGGAAGTCCAGAATGAGACGCTACGTAACCGGGGAACCAAGCTGATCAGAGGTGCCAGCAATCACACTACGAATATACACGAGAGGCTGGCCAGAGATGCTGTACAAACCTCTCATCTGAATTTGGAGGAACACAACTTTGCTCCTTCACTTCATCAGGGCGTCAGTGGAGAGGAAATGTCACCCTTGCCCATGGTCAGCCGTATTGATGAAGAGGATGACAACGAGGAAGAGGAAAGAGGACCGTGCACTGGTTTTCTGACACTAAGCTGCAGTGGAGTTGGACTGGGGCAAAGCCAGACCCCTGATAGTCCTTCTCAGGAGAGCTATGAATCAGAGACATTAGCTGAGAGCGATTCAGGAGTGGACCAAACTGCACTAGATGAAGTGGATGTGCTGGATTTGGAAGAGGAGTCTGCAGATGTGGAAGAGGAGGACAGTTGGTAGGTTTATTAATTACAATGGCAACATTTATGATCTGTCCTTTGGCCTATAAAAAGTGCATAATATATTTTTACTTTTAATTAAGCTTCAGAAAACATTTCTAAATTTTGTGTTTACATGACGGTAATCTCAGTGGCCTCATGAGTAACCTTTTTAGGAACATTGGATCCTAATATGCTATATTAACTGTTGGATCTGACAGTAGTCATCCATTTTGTACCTTTACTTGTACCTTAACTTTAGCTTTCACATACATGTAAGTAGATTGAAGGTGTGTAAAGAGGGGATTGTCATATGTTTAAAATGCCTAGTGATGTGCATGATTTATGGAGTGAAAGATTGCAATTGTTGTATTTGACTTTGGGCTCTGGGAAAAGCAAACCTGATCTGTCCTTTACCTGTTTGGCAGGTTTAACTCACAAGGTGTTTTTAATTATTCAAAGGTGTTGAGATGTGCCTGTTATGTCACTTGGTTGTTATTGCAGTAATTGTAATTACTGATTATTCACAATTTTGTATCCCCACTTATAGGTGCATTATTTGCAATGCACAATAAAGGAATCATATTGTGCCTCTTTAGCTACTTAAGACTACTGCGTCTTATTTTCAGTCTTGAGCCATACCATATGTACTCATAGTGTTAGTGGTTATCATTGACAAAACATCTTGTAATCCGTACTGGACCATAATCTGATCTGCTCTGCACTGGTTCCACTGCTACACGGACCAACAATAGTTGTTGGGGATTGCGCAGCATGTGATCTCAGGCCCCCCTCTGTGACCACAAGAGAACACAAATCTTTAAGCTAATGGCAGCTACATAATCTGAGCTGTACTTTGACAAGTCTACTCAAGTAATTAAAATTCAACCTATCAGGGTCCTAACTTCAGCCTAATTTACGTATTTCTTTGTGGTTCTTAGATCTCACAAGTTTTGGGAGAGTATCTATAAATCTTATTATATATGGCATTATTTAACCTTTTTATGTTGAAAGATTTGTATTATACTAGATCAAACTAACTTGTAAAAGACACTTCCCACCCCCCTTCATTGGGGCTCTGGCTGCATGTGTGACCTGAATATTGCTGTGTGCATTGTTGTTCTGGTGGGAAATGGCCCCTTTTGTGTATGCCCAATAGAGAAGATGATTTCTTGTTAGCTTTATTGGGCAAAAACCCATCAGTGTTTTTTGAGCAT